CTAATGTCAGTACGTCAGTAGGAAAATTGCCCTTAGTGAAATGTTACAGTACAGATGTCTCAGTAGCCTCTACCAGGCTTGTACTTAGTATGCCTCAGCCACAGAAGGGCACAGTTCCTCTGCCAAGAGGTAAAGCAGTCAAAGGCAGTTTTTCTCAGTCTAAATCAATCAAATGACCTTTTGGGAGCCTAAGACATGAAGAGCTTTTTTTTCTTTTCTGGGAAAGAAAATTCAAGACCCATCTTGTCCATGCTGCTTTGATGGTTTTCATTGACAATCAAATAAAGGCCAGTCTGAGCTCTGAATGTTCATTATTTTTGTTATTTGTCCAGTTTGTTTGCTTCCTCATATGTATACATGGAAGTATGAGGCAGCAGGGTGATGAGGAAAGGGGCGACTTCCATTAGGTTCGCTGGTGATTTTTTTGCGGTGGTTCCTTGCTGGTTTGCAGACCACTGCTTGGGAAGCGCCCATGTAAAAGATGTTCTCTCAGCTGGGTTTGAAGTAAAGCAAAGATCAGAAAGGACACTTGTGATCCAGCACAGAGGCTCAGAGACCAAAGCGTGGTTTCCAAACCCGCTGTTTGCTCATGGACCTAAGCCCTCACCTGGCGCCTCCCTGAGGCTGCTCCTGTGCTTGGCTACGCACAAAGCCCTCACTCAGCAAAGCAGCATAACATCTTCTTAAGGTTGTCCTCATTTGGTAAAACCCCTAAGCACATGTTTTGCTTGCTTGAATATGTGCTTGCTTAAGACCCACTGACAGCAGTGATCCCCTGTTTTGGTGAACTGGAGCCTTTTCTTGTCATTTATAAATTTTCTGTAATGGCCATCCCCTGTAGATGCACGTATGTATGCCCACAAGCATCCCATTGAGCCCAATCACACACACTTCTGCCTGAAAACCGCTCATGTGCATAATGTTTGCTGGATTGCAGCCTTGCTTTATAACTAATTTAAAAACTAAATAAAATGTTTCTTCTCCAGAAGGGAAATTCTGCTGCAGAAATATACATTAAGTAGTTGGGGCATTAAAGGTTTTAAAATCCGAACTCCATAAAATGAATTGTTTTATCATTTGCAGAGGATTCATTACTTTCTAAGAGGCCTTTTGTCAAATAAGCATTTTGCAAACGAAGCTAATCAGCTCTGTTCCTGTTTATAATTCTCCCACCACAAATATTTATACATTATAATTTGTCCTTCTGCTTTCCTGCCTATCTAAGCACAAGCACATTAAAATTTTTCTGACATGCCGCTGCATTCAGAAAAGCCCTACAGGTTATAACAGAAAATTATAAACTCTCTTTAGTTTTTTCTTTGTAAGCCATTACAGAGAGTTGAACAGAGCCAGCAGCAGAGACAAAGGGCCGTGCTAACTAGTGCCAAACATGCCACCATACCCCTCCTCGCTCATGTGCTTTTTTTGGCTCCCCCACCTCACCCCAGTGCTGCCAGGAGTGATGCTAGAAACTATACCCCTTGCACTGCTCTTGTGGTTCAGAGAGGCTGGATTTGGAGGGGGAATATTTGGCTTCTTGTGGAAGATAAGACCACCACGCTGTGGGTCTCCGCCATGCTCCTATCTCCAAACTGGCATGCTGGCCCTGTGCCCAGGCACTGCAGGACAGACTGCCATCCAGCACGTGTGCTCACATACCAGCTGGCATGGCAGCCTGGGGCATGAGTCTCATGGGGTGCACCAGGGCACACGTTTGCTGGCATTTAGCGTCTGCGGCTGTCGGTATCCAGAAGAGGTGGCTCAGAGCTGCACACGGCAGTCAGGAGTTGGATGTCAGGGCAGGACATGCCCCAGGAGGGTCTGCCCCATCCTTGCTGCCCCAGCATCAGCATCTCTCTGTGTACATCAGTGGCACTGGGTGGATGGGGCAGGAGGGAGGGGAAGGGACCACCCTCCATGCTCCTCAGCCCCTGTGGTGTCCCCAGCTCTGCTCCCAGCAGACAGAGTTGGGCTGAAGAGGGGTCCTGAGGACTGGGGTCACCAGAGCTTGGGCGGTGGCAGTTGGCATCCCCTGCTTGTAAAGGGTGCGTGGGCAGCCCAGCTAAGATCTTCCTGTCCCATGCAAAGTGTTATCAAGCAGCACAAGACAATTAAGCTTTGCTCGGCGTTGAAAGCGATGCAGGTGACATTGTGCCTGGGGAGCCAGGGGGAGCTTTTCTGATGAAAACAGGAACACTGCTTGTCCCACCTGACTGACCTGTGTCTTAACTGTGCTTGTTGTTTTCAGGCGTTCACGATTCAGGGGCAGTATGCCATCCCTCATCCAGACGTGAGTCCTGCGCACGTAAATTACTCCCTTTTTCTTCCTTTCCCTCTTATTTGTTCTGGGCAACATTTGCTTTCTACAGTTAGCAATAAAGACACGGCCTAAGGACACCTTTCCTGAACAACACACTGTAGAGCCACGTGTTAGCTCAGCCGCATCGCTCAACTTCCGTAATAATTGCTAGAAAGTACAATGGCCCAGGAACAAATGACAGTTATCTTGGTCTTTCTTTGCATGTGATATATTTGAGTTCTTTTAATATGTAATTCAACAGTAATTAGTTAATATTAACAATAGCCATTACATGTAATAACAGTAGAGATGTCATTTATAACCAGTTTGGGTCGTGTTTTTTTTCCTCTACAGTAGATTAGAATGAATGATTAAACCTTTTTTTTATTCCGATATAATTTTAATTAATCCAGTTTTAGAACATGTAAGATGGTTTCTCTGGTCTGAAATAATTCCATTTGATTGGTTAGTTCTAATTTCCCATCCTGCCCTGCAGTTGACCAAGCTTCACCAGTTGGCTATGCAGCATCCCCCCTTTACTCCCCTTGGGCAGACCACCCCTGGTTTCCCTGGTACGTACCCATGATCCCCTGGGGATGTCCTTCTTCTTAACAGCTTTGTTTCCCGTGGTCATTACATCATTTTAATAATAAATGTGGTCAATGACCAGCAATCCTTCTGTTTTTACACATTAATCTCTGTTCTTCCTGCCCCCCCCCAACCCGTGCCTCTGTTACAGTTCCTTTCATCATTGCTAAAATGTGCTTTGTTTGTTACATTTATTTAATCAAAACCGCTTCATTTGTGCCATTGGCTAAAAGCCCTGGGTTTCTTTTGTTCGGTCCTTGTAAAGTTATTATGGACCATACAGTATGTACCAGTTGGTCCCGAGTGAAGTACTTGGGCGTGCATCTTGTCAAATTTCCAGTTTGGTAACATGGTTCAGAAAGAAGCAAACACAGGAAAACAGTATGTAATCGTGGTACAGAAATACTGATTAAAGAAATTACGGCACGCTGAAACTCAAATTCCTTGTAGAGCCAAATGTCTTAAGAGCCTCTGTAATCATCACTGCTGGGACAAGTGCTTCTCTTCCTACTAGATATGCAGATATAGCTACAAAATGCAATGGAAATTTAGTTAAATTAAGGACTGCAAATTTGGTCCATACTTACTAAAGCTGAAGCTGAATTCTTGATTCAAGAGTGAGAAGTCAGTTAATCCTGCAATAAATCATTTTTACTGTACTTCACTACATACATGCTTGGCATCTAAAAACTTCACAAAGCAGAAGTACATTTGTACTGGTACATGCCTTGTATGGCAAATAACATTTTATCACATACATCCAATTCTGTGAGCAACTTGATTGTTTTATATTCAATGTAAAATAAGTATATGCAACTCTTAATTGAATGTAAACATAAGTAAAAGGTAGGTGAGTCACTTTTTTGTAAGAGTATTTCTTTTCCATCTTTTCTAGTCGGAAATGAGTATTTTTGGCATGTCTTTACAGATAATAATAATAATAAACACCAAAAAAAGAGAAAAGGAGAGAAAGAGACATGACATACAAAATATACTTTTGTTTCTTCATGATGTATCTGATAAAATATCTACAAAAAATACTAAATTGCCTTTCCTAGCTTTATATTTTCCTTATTCTTGTCATTAACATGCTGCTCCTTAATCTTTTCCTGGTTATATTTGTGAGATGTACATTTCTGTAATGTTACTGTGTGTTAGAGCAGTAATTCCATTTTTCCTGAGCATTTTCCTTTGTCCACCCAATTTACAAACAAATGTATGCAGCTTAGAGTATTTTGTACATTTCCCTTCAAAAATTACCCTTCCCAACATTTCTTCAGCAACTAGTCCCACATATAATTTCCAAATTTTCCTAGGTTAATTTCCTCATCCTTAATTTATTATTTTTTCTTTTTCATATCTATGTATTTTGTTCTGCTAATTGTTCGTTTGACTTCCACTTTCATTTTCCATATTCTAGAACTCCTGGTAGACAGGTCAAATTTCAGCCATCCATTGATTTCTCAATTGATGTGTTTAGAACAAACTTCAGAGACTATTTTTAGGGGAAACCCTTCATTTTCTAGAAGCTTTTTATGACCCTGTGGAATCTCATGTGACATTTGTTGCTTTGGTGGGTTAAAGGTTAATTAAAATGACTCATTTAAAATTAGTCCAGCCCTCTGAGTTTTGCATTTCTTGCTTTCTTTTCTGTTTCGCTACAAGTTCTCTAGTATTCTTTGCTCCTCTCTTTTTTTTTTTTTTCCTTCTTATTGTATGTTTCTTCTTTAAAATATCCTCTGTTGTGTCTTGCCCTTCTTGCAAACAACTGGCGTAACATTTTCCCTCTGTCCCCTGAATAGGACTGGATGCCACTACTCCAACCAGTTCCCATGAACTTACTATTCCCAATGATGTAAGTGGACCAATAGTCAGTATCACTTTCTCTTCTCTCACTCCTCTGCCACCGGAGGGGAAACCTCTCGGGTTTGGCTGATTTGTAAACACTACTCGCCAGAACAAACTGTACGGCATTTAGTCTGTTGGGGAGGGGTATTAGGGGTTAGTGAAATGCTGGACAGAAGCGGCAGAAGTGACTGTCCCCTCTCGTGTCAGGCCTCCAGGGATGCTGGTTTAGTTGCACGACGGTGCCAGCGCCGTGGTGCTTCGCCGGACTTGTTAAAGCCTGGGTGCCTGCTGCTTACAGTGGTCTGAGATGAGTTACCGAAATTCATCTCTCAGGTGGCACTAGCACAGGCAGTCTCAGCAGAAGGGCTAAAAGGGGTGGAAAAATGTGCAGCCCCGTGTGCTGTGTGCTGGGCTGGAGTCCTCCGTGCCAGGGGATGGAGAGCTTGCCCCACAACAGCTTGCGCCGTGCCAGTCTCCGCTGCACCCCTCACTTAGTCTGAGACAGCATTTTTCCTGAGCAAAAAAGCTACTTCAGTTATGTAAAGGTGCAATATAAGGTTTATCTGAAAAACAAGGGCTAAAAGCTTTCCTGCTCCAGCAGCTCTGGACAGGCTGTGATGGACAGACCCAGTCTCCATGAGCAATATGGTGCTGAATCTTAAAACAGCTACTCAGAATGCCCAACTGATATGTTGCGTGTTGTACAAAAATGCCTTCCCATTTTATTCACTTTCATTGCAAACAGCTGGGGGCGGGGGGGAGGTGTTGGTGGTGTTCAGTTTTCATTACAAATGAGTCACTTGCAAAATGGAAGATTTCCCCTCCAGTAAAAAAAGCTTTCAAGCATGAGTGGGATCACAAATAGCAATTATATTACTTAAGAGATACTTAGAATATTGTGTAAGCCCTATTAAACTCAGTGGCAATGATTTACAGTAAGAAAAAAAATACAGAATAACGAAAAAGCGAAGGTGTGAGTGCTGTGATTTTGTAAGCTTTCTGTTACTTAAAAGATGCCCTGCTGATTTACCAGTACCTGCTTTACAGCCCAATTTATTGTATGTTGAGAATTTTATGGGAGCACCCTATTTATCCTTACAGTGCAAGTTTTTTAATCTCACTTTCAGGCAAATGTTGGTTTTGCAATCAGTGATATAAATCCAAGGTCACTCTTCTGACTCCATTTCTCTCAGGGTTCATAGCGGAGAAAGAGAGGGAGAAAGTTGTCCTTGTGTCCTGTAGTGCAGTAAAAAATTTAAAAAACCCATCATTTTCTCATCCAGGAGGTATGAAATGCCCTGGCTCAGCACTATCCTCTGAAAAGCAAACACACATCTGTGCGTTGTTTCTAATAGAAGATTTTTCTGGCTACGTAGCGCATGCCTTGCTGTTGTTGCCAAAGGAGCAAAACCAAGGCCAAAATGGGGTTAGGCTTAGAAACAGCCTGCAGGAGCTCTACAGGTGGTGAAAGGGAGTTCTGATGTTCGTATGGTGTCAAGGTGTGCATTAAAGGACTGAAAGGCTGCCCACGTGCGCTGCGTGCGTGTGCGTGTGCGTGTGCACCCGGTGCTGCAGTGCTGATGCAGAGGGGAGGAAGGGTTCTTGCATCCCGTCGGGCATCAGGGGCTGCTTGGGAATTTTGCAGGGGGGGAAACAGTTTCCCTGTGCGTCTCCCTGAGGCGTTCGCTCTGCCTGTGCCCTGGGCTGTTAGCAGTGCCCTACCAGGCTGTCCTCAGGCTGCAGCAACAAGAGGGTACCATCCCTGGAGTCTCCTGGCATAACCGTGCGTACAGGTGTCCCGCGGCCCCATCACCGCTGCAGCAAGGCTGCTCTCCGGGCAGCCCAATGCCAAAAATGAGGATGTGAAGGAGATGGAGGGACATAGGTCAGAGAGGGAGCCAGGTGGGGAGGCGCCAGCACCCATGTTTCGTGTGTGCCCTGTCAGTCAGATGCTGTGCACGGAGGGAGGTCAGGGAGGGAGAAGCAACAGCAGTTGTGCAGCAAAGCCTGCATGGGTAATTTGACTTTGCTTTCCCGATAAGCATCTCCTAGTCCTGGTTTTGATGGACAGTCGGCGTGGCACGATGATTATTTATCTGGTTGAAGGTGAAGGAAGCTGCAGGCCCTGGCATGGGCCTGTGGTGCAGCCCCGAGGCTGCACGTGGCCAGTCCCCTGCCTGCCCCGACTCCAGGGGTCCCCTGTGCTGCATGAGTCCCCCAGCTTTCTTACCGCATGTGCTTATGTGTGCAAAAGTCCAGCACACACGAGAAGAACATGAGACTTGCAAATATCTACATGCTCCGCAGCTACCAGAGAAGTCAGTGTATATCTACATGTGCTACACTTATTTTTTAAAACCAAGGTAATGATAAGCACATAAAGCCAAAGCCTCAGTAAGAATCTGATGGAGCAAAACCAGATATAAGGAGAATAAGGAGCTCAGACTTTAGCCTAGTCTACAGCAAGTAGATATTAATAGTCTTTTACAATTTGCATAGCTTCATATTAAATTAAATATTCTTCACTCCCTCTGGCATTAAGGCAGTGACAGAAGTTTTTTTTTCTGTTAATAATAATTCCTGTACCAACATCATGCTGCTTTCTTCATACAGTATGCTGATAATTGCAGCTAACCTGTTGCTCAAGAACAAAGAGATAGCGGAGAACAAAGAAATGCATTTTACAGAAAGTTATTTTCCACATGCTAAGGCTTACTCTCCAAATAATGAATTCAGAAGATTTGCCTTTCTAGGTTTCCTCATAACTTCTGGGTATCTCCAAAAAGAGACCTGAGAGGACATTTCTCCAGGTCCCTCTCAGAAGTCTCTTTGATCCTTATCTAGTATCTCCTTTTCCTCATCAAAACCTCTTATAGGGGTATTTGGTTGCCTTTCTTTCCTTACTAGGATCTTGTCCGGAGCTCCACTGCTGCCTAAGTTACACAATGTAAGTGTGTTTCACATAAATCCCAGAATAAAGTGGCGTTAACAGTGGCAGGTCCTTAAGGGAACAGAAGGGATGGTATCCATGGGTGTAGCTGATTGGGCACAGATAACAGATGTCTTAAGATTCCATGATCCAATCCCCCAAAATGCCCATTGAGAGTAAATGAACAAACCAATAATAAAAAAAAAACTGTCTCATTAAAAATTATGCATATTTTGCATATATGTGGGAGAGGCAGGCAGAGGCAAGTAACAGGAAAACAACTTCCCCCTCAGAAAGCAAAAAGAACATTTTAAGAAAGCTATAAATCTGACCAATACTCCATAGAAACAGAAATGTCAATCCATCCAAGTTTGAAATGGCATACTGAAGAACTACCTTTATTTCTCCATGGAGCCAGAAGTACTTCCCTGCAAACGATGGAGGGGGACCCGCATGTGCAAAATGCTCTCGGAGCAGCCCGCAGTGAAATCCAGCGCCAGCTCCGCGTGATGCTCCAAGTAGGTCTGCGTGGCGCTGCCTCTTCCACCAGCGGTCACTGGGGAGACTGAGCTCTCATCTTTGCAGATCCCCAATCCATCGCCTGCCGGGGGGGGAGAATCGGTGCAAGCCTTTAAGGAGAACATAAGGGCGGTGTCCGACCCTAACTGTGACTTCCAGCAAGGCCACCCACCACCTACACGTTACAGGAAAATTGCACCTCGCCCTCCCTTCAGCCCTATTCCAGAAAAGTCCTGAGAACAAGTGCCATGTTCTTATAAAACTAAGCTGCTGGCTAAGTCCATCCGTGGCTCAGAAACTTTCCAGTTGTATGAAAGGGTTTAAAAGCAATGGTTAGGCAAAGACTTACTAATCCACACAAGACATGCTGGGAAAGGTCCTGCAGTACTGTAAGTAAGTCAAAGCGCTTCTACTGAAGGCAAGGGACCTGTGGATTCAACCTCAATAAATCTACCTTACTGCTGAGAGCCTCCCATGTAACAGGGAAATAATGCCCAGAGCAAAAATACAGAGTTAACCAGGTTCTGTCAATTAGCAATGTTTAAGGGGGTGTGTTATAAAAAAAAAAAATTATTTTTTATCATTTTTTATGTTTGCACATGGCCTGATTTTTGTCTCCCCTTAATCTAAGAAAATGCCATTTGATTCCTCAAGTAGACCTGTCCAGATGAGCTCAAGAATCAGTAGAAAGATTTTGCAGACTTAATATCCATCAGAAGTAAGTGAGACTGTTTGTGGGACAAGGCACCAGTTAGCATTAAAAGTAATTCCCCCCCAGAACTGCCTACTGCTCACTTTAGGGAACAGGATGGGAACTGGTGGTGGGCCCTCAATAAATTGAAATGCACACAAATCTGCAGAGTCATTTGGGTTACACAACAAGTAATAAGAAGGCTCATTTCTGAACATGTTTTCTTAGTTTTCTATATGACTTCTTGCAAAGCCTGTGAAATTATTATAGTCCAGATTTTGCATTATCCTGGCAAGGGAAATAAAGTTGTTTTTTTTTATTATTATTATTATTATTATTATTATTATTATTATTATTGTTTCTTAAGAGGCACAGGGTATTTAAGCATCTCTTTCTAGGCCCTGCAGTAAGTCTGTAAAGAACTGTAATCATACCTCAAGAGATTATTTCTCCCTATAGGGGACTCTGCCCCAGCATTTCTAACTGAAAAAAAAACCAACCCAACCCAAACCTGGAACTAAGAAAGCCTGTATCTTTACGAAAAGCGGTTGAAGAGTCTCCTTCATGATGAGCACCTGCTTGCTCAACTAATGCAGAGGCTTTGCCAAAGCCAATGGATTTGCTCTGGGTTGGCGGTGGGGAACCAAGGGGAACCACGTGCACCCGTGGACAGGTATGATCAACCCCTCTGTTCCGGACAGCAGATACCAAGTTGCAGAGGCTACTTCCTTGGCCCTTTTTACCAACACTACATTCATTATAAGAAAGGAATCTGATTTTTTTACTGGTATTTAAAAGAAAGTGAGCTCCATGCCACTTTTTGTGAGAAGCAGTACTCCGCAGCACTGGACTTGGATAATAAACCAAA